GAGAACACAAAAATAATAATGAAAAAAAATGAATATCGAGTGTTTGAATGCTGAGGTCGCAATTTCTGTTAGGTAATTATTATTCTTATTAGCTAAAGCATTAAATACATCAAGCAACAGTTTAAAATTATATTTAATAAACATATAATATATCTTATTTAATATTTATATTTGATATGTCTTATTGAAAATGGTGAAACATAATAATACTTGTGTTAACGTTTAATAACTATTATATAATCGAGTATAGTAAAACACAACTTTTTTACTTTTTTTTTACTAGCAAAGAAAACAGCAGAAAACCATACCACTAAAACTAAGTACAATAAAAACCAGCACAGTCTTTAGATTTTACTTGCTTTAGTAAGTACAGAATAAACCAACACACAGTACAGCAATAAATTGGTTCTTTTTAGCTTTTGCTTTTTTTTAAGCGTTTATTTATTTATTTTTATTATTCAAAACCTTTTTTTGGAACGAATTTAAACGAAAATAAATGGCGCTATACTTTCGTAAAGTTTTTCTTTATCGCTTTATTAATTTGAAATTTATGCGTATATACCTATTATTACTTTTGCGGAGAAAACCTTTTTGGCAAATTCGGATAGTGTAATATATTTTCTTAAAACTATACCCGTTCACTAGTGGATGGTTATTAATGAATGTTACTTTCGAAGATACAAATCTTCTCGTTGGTTTTTTGAAAATGAACCGGTTGCCTTCTCTGATTAGGTAAGGGTTAACGCGAACACAACGCAAGACCCATAATATCCTTATAACTATTTTTTTTTTTTATAAGAAAAAATATACTATAAGGTCGAGTATTAAAATATTATCTTACAAAGAATTAAATGTTCACGTTGATCAAATAAATATATATATATATATATATATATATGTACTAACAAACTTATACCACATAGTAAATCCAAGTCATAGTTTTGTATTCTTAAAATTAAGATATCACTGAATAGATGATATTGTTTGTTTTGTTACTCATCGCTTGTACAAATCTGTAGTGGTCGAACATGTAGAAAATAGCGGACATAACATTGAATTTGAAAAAGGTAAAATTACCAAACAAAAAGAAGCTAACTTCGGAAAAAGGATGTTGGATGAGGAAAATAAATTGAAAAATGCCCGCTAAAGTTCAATAGGGAAGTCGGTAGGAAAATGAGTAATACACAGAAACCAATTATTCAACAGGAAAAAAAAAAGAAAGAAACAAATATTAAACCAACCGATCAATGCCAAACAATAGAAACAGATATTTTCGAAATAAATGAAAATTGCAGATGCAAAAAAAAAGAAGAGCAATAAGTAAAAAATGGCAAAAAAAAGAAAGCATACCACACAAAGATATCCAGATGCTTCGCATTGAACGTCGATTGTACACAAGTTTATTCACTGCTAAAGAAAACAACTATCGACTCAATGCTGATCGTTTTGAAACACTCACATTGATTGGAAATATGCCCTTCAAGCATAATATTTTTTATTAGTTGATTACATTACATGTATTCCGCGACTCTTAGATTTCTTGAAATTCTATTTAAGATTTTTTACACGTGAGTTGATATTTAAATTTGAGGTTCACTGGCCGCTAAGAAATCTATACAAATTTTGCTTATTTCCTTTTAACTGCTATGAAAGTATAAATGAAAAATCTACATTTTAAATGCCAATGGAATGAGGTGGAAATAATAATACTGTACATGACGTTTTGTAGAAAAGCCAATATCGATTTCAGTTGTGCAACTGCATGTCACTTTATAAGTTACAAGTATATTGTATTATCTAATAGTATTTCCCAAATAGATACTTAAATATAACACGGTTATGCAAAAAAAAATATATAAATATATTCAGAAGCTATTTGTGGCATTTTGAATTATCATCGTACTCGCCATGTTAGCATATTTATAGTCTGGCGGGGACTGGCCTTTGGTAAAGAGAAAATTAATTGGAAAATAAAAAAGGTCTTTTGATAGACAACGGTAGAGAATAAAGCACATTATCGATGTGTTTGTGTGAAAGTGAAAATGACCAATTGTAGTAAAGCTTTTAATTTCGTTCACTTTCTATTTTCATATCTTATTTCATTAGCTTTACCGCATTTTCATACAGTTACCTTTGGCCCTACATAACACCTTATTAATATTCAACAACAAACACCTTTTGACGCTTCTCTCTACCTCTCCCATTCACACCTCGATTTACCAGCCAAATATTTGTTTTAATTTTTCAATAATTGTCTTGTATTTAACGGCTTCTAAACACTTAAACATAATCTATGTATATTTTCTATGTCTGTCACTTGTTAAATTAGCATAAAAGATTCACCACCTCTTTCTGTAATCTCCCGTGCAAATTAGTATGAACAGTAAACACTGGACTTATTTATAAAGAATACTAAATGGTTTGTTTACCGCGACTCCCTCGGTCGAAATTTTTAATTTAAAAATTGCCGTGAGTTATAAATAAAACATTTTTTTTTTACGATGTAATGGTTGATTAGTATGAAAAAAAATATACATAATTTATTCTGTCCCAATTGCCTTGGAAAATAAATTACAACAGAGACAAAATCGCTAAAAATGGTTCACATAGATCACGTAACTAAATTTAATTAAATTTTTTTTTTGTTAAGGTTAAACTAAAATTATAAAAAAATATTCGATAACAGTTGATGTTTTTGCGCTCGTATACATCAGCTACTTATCTAATACTTAGGCAATAGAAAATATAATACATATACCGCGTTTGATGTTTGTTTTTTATAAAAACATTTTAGAGGCTTTTATTAGAAGACTCGATTTTTTTTATTAAATACTTTTATTTACGGATGAAATTAAAAAAACGTGTAACTTTTCAAGAATTTAGAATGGCAAAATCATGCACTCGAGCTTTAGTACCTAGCAGTTGGTTAATACAATTTGAATAACATTAATAAGAAAAAAAATTCGTTAATCCAATTGTATGCACGTCACGGTTCGCGAAGACGCACTACTTTACTTAAGTAAATTATGTATTTTATTTATTTAATTTTTTTTTTTAGAGTGACAGGATGTACAATATACATAATAATACGAGTACAGTATGTTGGTGTTTCATTATTTATTCAGGTTCTTATTAGAAATTGTTTCTGGTTTCGTCGCAGTGTACCGTTTGTTCAAATCTTATGAATTTATTATTACCGCAGTCATCGCTTGTATGCCGAGAAACGAGTCCGCCCAAACTGTTTTGAAAAACACACAATACAGGACTTACTCCGAACATCGGTTCCAAGGCGTTAATAGAATATTAAAACGACAAGGTATTACAAATGAAGTCCAAATATGTTGTTATAATATTACAGGGTGATCAACTTATCGTGAACCACTCAATATCTCACCGGGTTTAATTAATAATTGAATTCTTCTATGGTCAAATCACATTCAGATTTAATAATTGCTCTGACCCAACTCTGCTAAGTTTTTCAGCACCGATTTACATTAACCTTCATTTGGACTGTGCTGGTTTTTTATTTAGTCATGGAAATATTTGACAAAATAGATAAGTCATATACAATTTAAAATTCCTTAATAAGATTATGGCCAAAATGTAAAAATACACAAAATAGATTTGAACGAACTGAACCTGTTCTGTGCTTTTACAATTGTTTACACTGTTCATTTTCGACATGAGTTTATCTTATGGCTGGGATTTGTTTACGTAATAATTTCCCGACAGTGATTTTGGATGCTGATAAGATACAGACGACGAAGGATTAGTAGTAAGAGTAGACTAAATCGGAGAGGACACTGTAAGCAATGATTTTCGGATGGAGACCGCCATCTTCTTATTTATCCTAAAATTATATCCATACACAACTAATATATAGAAATAACATTATACCGATTGATAAACGAAAAGATGGCCACGACGCGTTTTTAGTGGTAGTATATGCACCGTCTTAAATTTTGAATGTGTTCACTCCACGAGGTCTGGCAACTCCCTTTACATAAATGTGTTATGTGCAGCCGTTTTTCCCCCATACGGCGTGCATTGATCAGTCGACACGTTTTTTTTTTTGTGTGTAAACACAGATAATATATAAACATACCAGATAGCGGATAACCATCTGAAAGGTGTTCCATGGTCCGCCATATGCAAACACGGCAATATATAACAATGTAAACATTACCGTCTTAGCAAATGGCCGCCTCAGACACACTTTCATTAACACCTTGCAAATGGTCGTCCGCTATCTAGTATGTTTATATTAAATCTGTGTGTGTGTAAAACATCACGCCGGTGGCCGCCATATTGAAAAAAAAACGGATACGCTTTTCCGTGTAGAAAGTTACCAGCGACCCGGTTATAAGATCGTGGTCCATCCACAGTTAAGGCTAGTCCTCAACTCGTCGTTTCGTTTCGTGTTAAATACTCCTTTCTGACTGACTCATATTATCATAGTAGATACATTTTGATCGTGTCTACCGAGACGTTACAGCGGTTACCGCAAAGTTGATTAGATTCAACTTATGGCCGTACTAGTCGTAGCTGGTTACATCATATCAGTCATTGCGATTAAAAATCCACAACAACATTTAATTAAATTGATAACAAATTAAGTTATTATATATTAATATAATTAGTTTTTATTTTTATTTACGGTGATAGCAATATAATTATCAGTGAAAAATAATTGAAAAATCAGTGATAATGTTAATAATCAGTGATAACTGATAATGTTGGTAGAACGACTGGTAACTATTATTTCGTGCAGTCAAAAAACGTCGTGTTCAGTACACACGAAACGAAACGACACGACGACTTGAGGACTAGCCTTTAGTGTGAAGAGATAACTGATAATGGCTCCTGATAAGAGACAGGTGATAAGAGATCAGTGACAAGACGGGTAGGGATAGAGGAGGGAAATGATACCATAAGATATGTTCATGATTCAATGTTTGCCATTCAAGAGAAAATAATTTCTTAATGTTTTTTGTACTCACAGGGCGGACGATGCTCGTCGTTTGCTCAGATCTTTGGTGGGCAGCGCGGCCGGATGCAGTAGAGTGGCCAGACCCAGGCGTTCCACGCACAGCGACCTCGATCTGTCCCTGGCGGCCACAAAAGCGGACGGCGACGGCGGCGGGGGTTGCGACGGGGCGGCGGCCACGCTCAGACGCCGGCCGCCGGGCAGCGTGGAAGGCGGCGGCAGAGGGCCGCTGTCCCTGTTGTTGTCAGTGCCCCTGAGACGGGACACCAACTTCATGGCAGCCGCGGTGGCCGTCGTGGATGAACGCCGCCGTTCGCTGATGCCGCCGTTGGCACCACCACCACCGTCGCCGAAACCGGAAGCTGGTCGCCACGTCCGCTCTTCCGTTTTGTCGGTCTTGTTGATAGTTTTTTTTTTAATTTATAAACTCCGCGTCATTCGTTCGTCAGTAAACGTCATGAAATAATCACCGTCGGCACAATAAAAACTGCTCATCGTTGGTGCACTTTCAGGGAGGTGCTAGACATATTATATTCAAACACTAATAAACTTTAAGTCAGAACAGTCTCAAAAAGCCTGCCTTATTCACATTTAATTTCTTTTAGAGGGAAATACTTTATCGATTATGACCAGACGATAGTATCAATCATAGTATTATTGGCGGAAAGTAAGGAAAATCTTATCGAGCCACTGGACAAATTATTAGATACGGCCAAAAGAGTAGATTTAGAAATAAATGCTAAAAAAAATGAGTATATGATCGTGCGGAGAGGAGAGGTCGCGGATCATGTGCATCCACACATTAGAAGTTGGGCAGTACAAGTTTTAGAGAGTAAAAAAGTTTAAAATTATTATCTGGAATCGATCTTGACTAAAAAAAAACGATGAACTTACCGAAATAATAGCGAGACTCCAATCCGGCAATAAATGTTACTACAGATTAAATAAGTTGTTAAAGGCAAGAACAATATCGAAGAACCACAGGATACAGCTGTATTGTACTCTCATTTGTCCAGTGGTAGTGTACGTATGTGAAGCGTAGACATTATGGAAATCTGAGCAAAGCGAATTTCTGATTATTGAAAGAAAAGTATCAAGAAGAATATTCGGACTATGTTTATATGAAATCGCGGGGAATGGAGAACTCGAAAAAAAAACAAAGAGCTTAAACAGTTGTATCAAATGCCTGATATAATTAGGGAAACAAAAAAAGGAGACTTCAATAGGCAGGACATGCATGGAGAAAAGATAGTTTGGACGGTGCAATGTGGTGCTCCGAAAGGAAAGGGACCTTCGGGACTACCGCGACTAAGATGGGAGGACCAAGTGAAGAAGGATGTTGAAATGGTGGAGCAGGATACTGCTTGTCATATTTTGGCGATGGATAGAGGGAAGTGGCAAGAATTATGTTTGACAGTGTGATCTTAATGGTCGAATACAAAGAAGAAGAAGATAGTATCAATGAAATATTAGTGATACATAAATAATATAGACATATACTATATTATTATGTATAAAATCTAACGTTTGATAGAGGATTAGTGACTAGAGATCAGTGATAAGAGATTATATATATTTTTCATTATTGTTTCAAGCTTGCAGGGTTTTGAAAATAGCTAGCACCCCCTGAAAATGCAGTGTTGGTCGTTTTTTAATTTTTCCGGTCACGCGCAGCGTTTTTATTAAAATTTATTTTTTTAATCCAAACGGCCAAATGTTTTTTTCGTTTTGCACCTGATGAATATACAGAGCCAACTGTGCCATTGTATCTATCTAGTAATTATTTTGCCCATTTCATTGATTGTCAGTCAACTCGAGTCGATTCGTGAGGGCTTTCCCGCTAAAACGTTTACCGACAATTAATTATTTTCCATTGTAACGCCCGGATATAATATATACCTAATGAAAACTGCCAAGTAATTTGCCAATTCACCGGTGTTCGACCGTGGCCAATAATTACCGTATTCTAATTATCGCGGTTTCCCCATTGTGTGTGTAAAAAATAAGATTAAAAAAAACATGACTACAATATTATGTACAATAATGTTTAGATATATTTTCAAAAAACACAATGTAGGTACTATACTAGTTAACCGAATTTATAGTAAAAACAAAAAAGTGGTCTTTAAATTATTAAAGTGAATTATTTACTGAACGTGGCCGTCCAAAATACATGCCGGAAATGGAACCAAAACGGAATAGAGTTTATAGACTAGTTTTGGCAGCAAAAACACTTAATAGTCGGTCTGTAACGTTTGAAACGGAAGGAAAAAACTATGTAAATCAAATTGTGTATATTATATTATAATGGTAAATCGGTTATCGTTCACTGCATAGCCAAAAAAAAAAAAAAATAAAATAAAAAGCCCACTGGGAAGTGCTAAAAAAGTACAAGAATTCAACTATCTCCCCACCCCACCATGACATCAAACAATCAATATATATCCTCGTCTCCTTCTAGTTTGTATATCAAAATTTATATCAGAGCAGTCGGATCATTTAAGTCCATAATATTAAAAATATGTATACACAAGTTCGTACTTAGTAACTCTTATACAAAATAAAGTTAATTTAATTATACAGTTTTTTGTGTCTGCGGGAAATAAGTAGTCTTCAAAAGTAAACAAACATAACTACCAAAATTGTATGTAAAATATTAAACACTTGACTTGCATTCCCAAAGCTTAAGCATGGTCATTTTTTTTTTTTAGCAACTCCTTTCTATTTCACCATTAACATGCTATATAAACCATATGTTTAGTTTTAGTAGTAAATATAATATAATATTTCAATCAATGGCAAATATATCAGTTCATTTTAATTTGTACTCAAAATATATGGCGTTTGCCGGTTAAAATCTCAACAAGACAAACAGTGTGATAGAATAAATATTATTTTGTCACTTTAAAACGAATATTTCAGTCGAAAGCTAAAATTCGGTTTTGTCGACAGAATAACGATTTTAAAGAGTTTTCAAACGGATGCAATTGTGGCATTAAAATACACCCTAAAAATGTACAGTATTATAATTATTTGGGACTCATAAAATGTAAATATCCGTTTATAAAGTTCAATACTACCTACATGTCATCTATTTAAAACAACTACCGTTAAAGACAAAATCAATTTTTAGTTGAGCATTTAATATTAGCTAAAATATGTTTTTATTTGTACAAATATAAATTAATGAATTAAGTACCTACTTATATTAACGTTATATAATTACAAGCTATTAACGTTATAGCTTGTACATTTTATCATGTATTGACTTTTTTTACATTAATCCAGCTTTACATTACTGCACGAATGGATGATAATTGCTTAGGACTTAATCGCACACAGATAAGGGCAAAACCGATAGCCCTAAGTATTAGAAGCTACTTATCGCAATGGCGACAAATATTTTTACATACATGATGAGTACATATTTTTTTATTTGCAAATTGCAAAACGCCAAGTGCGGTATTACGGAAACAGTCATATTATAATAACCGAAGAGTTGTAAAAACAAGTGTTACAAAAATAGAATAGCATTAAAGTTATCATTAGACAGGCTGATGCAAGTATATTATAGAATTTGACCTATTTGAACTGAACATTAGGCCAGCGACCCTATTAGTAGGGGTTAATTAATAGGGACCCTTAATAGTTGGAAATTCCAACTTGGGTGTAGTGGTTACGTTAGATTGACAAGTAGAAGTCGATTAAGTTTTAGTTTTGTGAACCTTCCCCCTCCCCCCTCGGGAGTAATTAATTAATACTAACTAAAAAACGTAAAATTTAAAAAGCAACATTTTTACAAAGATTGGTATGCCGAAAATTTTTGCTAAAAACTCAAGCGTGGGTCTTAAAATAGCGTTCTAAGGCTATATAAACGCGAGGCCGGGAAGTCTGATCGATAATAAATGGAGAGTTATTTAATTAGGCTTGTTGTTTTGTCAAATGTAGAAGTTTGAACAGAGTCCCCTCTTGGGATAATTCTATCGAGCCGCAACAACTGTGCATAAAGTGCGTACATACACTTGCAAACGCAGGTTAACGATTAATTAGTGTAAATAGACACCGAAACCACTAACAATGCGTGTATGCGGTGTAAAGTTTATGTATAACAACGACTTCTATAGCCGATAATTGGGTAAACATTAAGCAGACAAACGTGAAATTGAGAATAAAATCGAGCTTAAGCTAGAAATATAGAAGTAGATAATGTTGGCTTTGTTGAGTAACATATCGAGACAAATCGAGTATATAAATCTATTAAATTAATAAAAAAAATACTATAAACGAGTAAAATATAAATCGAAACATTGTACCGTACTCGATGGTCAGGTATTATTTATTATTTTGTTAGCGCATTAACGTGGTTGCGCATATTTTGGTGTGACGCGAAAAACGTGTCTCCAAACAAATCTCGCGAATTTTCTCGGGTAAAAAACTTTGTTACGTTAAAAAAAAAACTCTCAAATTAGATTAAGAAAAACCATCGGCTACCGAGACTTGAATACCGTATGAATTACGGATGTTCCGAGTCGTCGGGACGCGTTTCCGGTCGGCTAGACCGAAACGGAAATTTTCAATCGCAGAGATCGCAGGAGTTTTCGAAGGCCGTCCCGAGGGTTTTCCCCAAAATCTTACGGGATTAATAACCGATACCGTCCAATGAGAGGGAGGGTAGGGTAGGGGTGGACAGACGCGTCGGGGTGGAGGGGTGATACAGGTGAGGGCGAAACAAAACCAACGCGTCCGGGACAAAGCACGAGGGGTGCTGCGTGCGTTGTGTGCGACCACAAACAAGTGTCGTTTCCACCCGGGCTGAAATAATCTGTGGATCCCATTTGTCATGTGTCAAGCAAAGGGGGGGGGTGGGGGCGGATATTTTTCGATCGGCCGGAGAAGGGGAGGGCAGGATAGCTCTCTAATTTCTGTTGTACGCCCAAAGTGTAGTACCAGGAGGGGCGGTCGCCGGCCGCAGACCAGTGTATATTATACCTCCTCTGGGGAATTTCGCCGGGGAATTCGGTTTCCAATGAGACTTCACGGTATATTCACTTCACGCCAACGGTTCGAAAACGTTACTTGCGTGGACTTGGTTTTCTTTTATCGAAAATCGACACACGATATCGAAACGAGATCTCGGCTGCTATCTTGGCACTTGGGGCTGTAACCGTTTAGCTCGGCTGCCGACAGTAAAATTATCATTGCATAAAAATGTACCCGCGGGCCGCATTGGGAATGGCGCGCCGCCGGCGATGTTGAAATGGCAAAAGTTCTCTTCTCTGTATGATAAAATA